GAATATAACCTCATGAGAACTTCCATCTTTAATTGAGAACATTGGTTTTAGACTGGTTGTCCTTATTCAGAGGAACTAGATTTTTATTATTTTGTTATTTTTTATTTTAAACAAAATGTATATTTATGTTTTAACTCTTAATTCAACCTGGAAAGACACACACAGAAAGATAGAAGATAAACAGTTTTATTAGCAAAAGAAAGTTGTTTGGTGCTCGAGCTCCGACAGAAGACATGCGTGCTGCACACTACTGTGAGCTAGCGATCTGCTTGAGTTTAGGGTAACAGTCTTTCCCCCGGCAATGATTGGCAATAGTGGGCATTGGCAGATTTGACCTACAGAGCAAACATTCACAGAACATATTGACTGATTCAGTATGTGACAAATTGGCATGATACTAAAAAGTCAGGCATTTTAGAACATTTTCACACGTACTAGTATAAGTTAGTGATGCATTTTTCAATCAGCAGGAAAACTAGCAGAGGTGATTTTCCCACTTTATAGAGACATTCAAACACCTGTACTTGTCTATGCCTTCCTTGGGACCAATGTTCACAAAAGTCCCTTCTCCAAAGTAAAGTCAATACTCAGCTTGACCTGCCTGGAACCATCGTTGTGGTAGATCCAAAAGCACAGTTGAAACGAAAAATGGAGACACATTTGGCCAATCCTGAATTGATGAGAACCACTTCAAGGCACATCCATTGGGAAGGAGCTCAAAAGATGCTGTGGCACAAGACCCTCAAACAGACCTTACAAATACTATAAACATCATCAAGTTTATTTATAAAGCACATTTTAAAGGGATCCTCGATTAGTTGTAACTTCAGACTTTATATGATAAACATATACTTTAACTGTAAAATAACGACTTTAAAAATACTGTAGGATGTTTAGTTTTTATAATTTTTAAACTAAAAGTTTAAAAATATAGTACACGGATGGGGCCATTTTATTTACACCCAAAGCATTCTGGGTAAATGATGACATCAACTAGGTCCTCGGTGTGAGGCCGCTAGCGAGCTATATCCACCCTGAAGGTTAATCTTGGACAATATCTGATGATCGACTCTTTTAAATGAAACCAGAGAGCGTTGACAGAGAGGAGAAGGTAGAAATGACTCAGCCTGTAGCTGAAAATATGGATGGAGGACAACAGAGCTGCTTCATGGAAGAAGAACCTCAGCTTAACCTGTTATCTTTAGTGTTAGCCCCGATGCTATCACCATATATATGTATTAGCTCATCGCTACACATTCTCCTCTCGTCACTGAGGTCCTCCATCCACATGGCAGAGAGGGGAACACAAAAATGACTCAGCTGCAACTGAAAATATAGATGGATGACCTCAGTTTAGCTTGTTTGTCGCGCTAGCGCCGAGCTAATACATATAAGGCAATATAGCATTAGCGCAACCTTCAGGGTGGATATAGCTCGCTAGCCGCCTCACACCGATGACCTAGTTGATGTCATCATTTACCCAGAATGCTTTGTGTGTAAATAAAATGGCTCCATCCGTGTTAAAATATATTTTAAAAAATTTACAAAACTAAACATCCTACAGTATTTTTACAGTCTTTATTTTACAGTTAAAATATAAGTTTATCAAATAAAGTTTAATGTTACAACTAATCGCGGATCCTTTTAAAAACAAGTTGTCACCAAAGTGCTGAACACAAGGCAGAAATCAATATAAAAGCAAACAATATTCTTAAAAATATAAAAAATAAAACATCACCAATAATTACATAAACTCACAATTACTCACAATTAAGAATCTGAGAGAACAGGTGTGTTTTTAATAGAGATTTAAAAACAGGAAGTGAGAAGGCCTGTCTAACTTTGGGGGTTAGATTGTTCCAAAGCTTGGGAGCCATGACTGAAAAACTCGATCTCCCCTCAGTTTCAGCCTGGTTTTAGGAACGACCAAAAGCAGCTGATCAGAAGATCTCAGTGCCCGAGAAGGACTGTGAAGAAGATCAGCAAGCTAAGAGGGTGCAAGGCCATGTTGGCATTTGTAAGTGAGCAGGAGAATTTTAAAATCTATTCTATAGCGCACAGGGAGCCAGTGAAGGGAGACTGGTGACATATGCTCAAACCTATGAGTTCCTGTTATAAGCCGAGCTGCAGCGTTCTGAACAAGCTGAAGACGTGAAAGTGAGACCCGAGTGATCCCAACATAAAGTGCATTGCAATAATCTAATCGACTAGTAATAAAAGCATGTACTGTTCTCTCAAGGTCAGGTCCAGTCAATATTGGCTTGAGCTTGGCTATAATGCTACAATTCTGTGGTACACACAGGATGCTGGAAATGTCATGAGCCAAAGTTGACATATATGGGCTTGGGCTCTGCTCTTATCTGCTTCACAGTTCTTGTTAACATTGACTTTGTTCAAACTAACTTGTTTCAAGATTTGTGCCATAACTAATAAATCTTAGTCAATGTTAAATTGACTAAGATACAATCAATTTTAGGTTTGCTGAGCTAAAATTAGAATGTACTCTGAATACTAGTGGATTTTTTTGACAGGTTTGTTTAAAACTTTGGCTTTAAAACAGCAGTAAGGGGTTCTGAAAAAACTGTGCACTTGGCCTGAAAATTTGAACAAACACACCTTACTGTCTCCCTTCTTTTCCTTCTACTGTGGTACAGCGCTGCCTCCACAGCCCCACTTCCCCCTCCCCACAGCAGAGCCTGCCATAAATGCACAGGCTGGTGAGTAACTCAGCCCAGAGAGCCAGATGATGGCAGATAAACAGCCATGGCACATTCAAAGCTCTCATAAATTTGCAATTTTCCCATAATATTAAGTTGTTTCTCCACCATTAGCACAGCAGCAACACACTAACGGTCTTGAGCTTGAACAAAGGCAAGCGCTGTGTGTGTGTGTGTGTGTGGGGGGGGGGGGATGCATTCATTAGTGTGATACCCAGAAAGGTCCCCAAGCTAGGGTTTGATCTGGCGACCTTCTTGCTGAGCATTAACAGCTCTACCAACTGAAGCACTGTACTGCAAATATGTAAAAAAATATTTTTTTCATGAACCACTGAGTGAATTTTATTGAAACTCTTGGTAATCACTGGATGCGCATCTCCACTCAATTATTTTTGGAGTCAACCAAAATCAACAAGGTTTGTCACAGCTAATAAATCTCATCAAACAATAATTACTATTTCTTAGCAGAGGAGAGTCCATCGGATAGTCAAATCTCAGATTCAGGAAGAGCAGTGTGGTTTTTGTTCTAGTCGTGAAATAGCGGACCAGCTCTACACCCTCAGCAGGGTCCTGGAGGGTGCATGGGAGTTCGCTCAACCAGTCTACAAGTAATTTGTGGACTAGGAGAAGGCGTTTGGCCGTGTCCCTCGGGGACTCCTGTGGGAGGTACTCTGGGAATATGGGGTACCAGGCCCATTGATTTTGGGCTGTTAGGTCCCTGTATGACCGGTGCCAGAGCCTGATCCATATTGCTGGTAGTAAGTCGGGTTTGTTTCCAGTAAGAGTTGGACTCCGCCAAGGTTGCCCTTTGTCACTGATTCTGTTCATAACTTTTATGGACAGAATTTCTAGGTGCAGCCAAGGTGTTGAGGAGATCTATTCTGTTGACCTTAGGATCACATCTCTGCTTTTTGCAGATGATGTGGTCCTATTGGTTTCATCAGAACGTGATCTCCAGCTCTTACTGGAGCGGTTTGCAGTCAAGTGTGAAGCGGCTGGGATGAGGATCAGTGCCTCCAATTCTGAGACCATGGTCTTGAGCCGGAAAATGGTAGGGTGCCGCCTCCGGGTCGGGGAGGAGGTCCAGCCCCAAGTGGAGGAGTTTAAGTATCTCGGGTTCTTGTTCACGAATGAGGGAAGAATGGAGCGGGAGATCGACAGGCAGATTGATGCTGCTTCTGCAGTGATGCTGGTGCTGTACCAATCCATTGTGGTGAAGCGAGAGCTGAGCCAAAAGGCAAAGCTCTTGATATACCGGTTGATCTATGTTCCTAACCTCATCTATGGTCGCAAGCTCTGGGTAGTGACTGAAAGAATAAGATTGCAGATACAAGCGGCCAAAATAAGCAACCTCCAAAGGGTGTCTGGTAGACTTGGGTGGTATGAAGGTAATTTGTTACAATGCTGTATCAAAATATGATGACAGTATATAAAAGTTATGATGGTATGAGTCACGTGAGGTGAAGTGCCAAATTTCCACAAGGCAGCAATGACAGCTGGGACAAACATTTTAGAGGATGCCACATGTTGTTAATGACACATGTTTTGATCACCTCAGTTCGTTCAGAAAACAGAGGAGGAGGGGGGGGGGGGGAGCAGAGACACCCCTGTCTCTCGTGCCTCTGAGCAGGGTAAAAAAAACACTTGGTGCGAGCTTGCACAGCCAGACATGTTCCAGGCATGTACAAAGACTTTTTTTTTGCTAAAAGCATGCAGCAGCTTTCCAACGACCACTGTAAGAATCAGATTATTAAAACTCTAAAAATGATCTAGTTTGACTTGTGTTTGATCTGTTCAGTTCAATAAGGGTCAATCCCATTCTGACTCCTGCCTTGAGTGACAGAAACGTCAGATCTGCTCACAAGCAGACGTTTTTTCTATTATTAATTACTAAACATGCCACAACTGCATGCAATGCCATTGGCAATATGCATTTGTTCAAGGGGTGCTAGTTTAATTGTTATAATACGTGTTATAACTGTATGTTTACTATGTGAAAATGCTCTAAATACTACAAAAACTTGAATATGTGGCAAACGTGTCAAAGTTAACTACACAGGCCAGTCTGGCCTTGCTATTTAGTGCAAAATAATAATGATAATAAAAAATCCTGCAAAGTAAAAATTTAGTTTTCCACTGATGGCATGTTGGTGAACACTAACATGTCATCAACATATTATAATAATATGCTAATATACCGTATGTCCCATCCAGTTTGATCTACTATGCGTTGCCAAATTTTGCCTTTAAACTCTACAGAAAGAAATCAATCAACAAATAAAATAAGGATATGTGTACTTTATTCATATTTCATATTTGTTTGTTTACATTTACACAAAAATACAGAATACAGTAGAGATTTTTACCCATAAAATTCACTGGGAAATAATTACATTTGCTTTTTGGCACCCAGATATACTTCCTGCCTTGATCAGTCCACTTCTGTGGGATTAACTGGATAACTTGTGCTCAAAAGCACTATTTGGAATGAATCTCAGCTCTCTTTTGGGCCACACAGCAACACACATGGGAACAGTGTTTGGGGCAGTCATACTTTTGACTAATGCATGAAACAGCTAGGTTTCTGGCCTTTATGCATCAAACATACCAACTTTAGAAAAGACAGAAAAAGGGGATATTGTGGTATTTATTTGTATTTATTCACAGCTTAGACCTGTTAACATCCTATTATATTAATAGATTATATGTAAAAAGCATTTTTTGACATCGTTGCCTGGTTTGTTTATTTGTGGCAAGATAATGTGTTTTTGTCAGAATCCCAGATCCTGTATTTACTAAACATAATGGAAGAAAGTCTCAGGGATAAACTGTAAATGACAGTCTACACCAAGATTGCTATCAAGTGCATCCTCAAATATATATGTGGACAAAACTTTAATTTGTTTTTTTTTTAACTCTAAGAATCTTTTTGTTTAAAGTATAATTATGTCACTTCTTCAAAGGTGTATATTCCTGTAACTCAGCTCTAAACTGCCATACAGGATATGGCACATGCAATGAGTTACTGTTTATAATGTTATTTAAAAAACAATTTTGTTATGAATATTGTCATTTTGCAGTTTAACACAATGTCCACACACCAACAACGTCCAGCTAATGAAGCTGAAAGGTACTGCTCATTAGAAATATATAAACACCAATGTGGTATACCTTTTTCAAACATGTATTAAATTTTGCACAATATACTCTGTTCTTCTATAAGAAAAATTCTCAGTATACAACTCCAATTGTACAGGAAAAAAAAACAGTTACTACCTGAAATGGTTCTCTTAAAGCTAACAAAGGATAAAGTGAACAGAAATGTTACAACTGCTGTGATTTGTTCTGCCAATATAGTTTTCAAATACCAAAACACTGCTTTACCTGAAAAATATTGACTGGTCAAAAAATGAAGCCAGTTAAACTCATTTAACAGAGGAAACAGCTGAGGGGTAGTGTCTGATAGTTTTTGCTACAAAGATACACAGGACAAGTTTTACAGTCAAACACTAATCAAACAAGGCACAAGGAATAAACAATGTAAGACCACATGTATGATAGAGACACTCCAATTCCAGAAGCAGGTTTTTGTGTCCTGCCACTTTTACACTTTCAGTGTCTTCTAGCTGAATGATGGGACAAGGTCACAGCCAGTGTGTCCTGTTCACACTTCTACACTTTTACTTGTTAAGAATACAACTATTTTAATTTATAGATTTCATTACTGACCTATACGTTTCCTACCATTTTATAAAACCCCGTTGCCTTTCTCCTCATGAATTCAATCTGCAGTTAAACATCTATAGTCTATTAGGAAACTGATGGGAGTACCTCCAGCTCCTTACTTATCAGAGTGAATTAAGGAACAAGCCAACCCCTTTAAAACAAAATCAGAATGGGCTAGAGAACTTCACAATAGCTAAAGACTGATAATTTTGGAAAAACAATAGCTTTAAAGTGTTTAATAAGAACAAAGCACAACACTTCAGCTGCTTAATTTGTGGAAAAGATGACAGTGCACTTTCTTCTGCAGTGTGTTACGGTGCAACTTTAAGGCAAAACAGAAGTTTTGGTTTGTGTGGTGTTCCAAAGTTGTGAGCTTCGTGGATGAACGTCGTAAATACATGGTGGTTTTATCAGAGATTTTCATTAACTTTACAATCACTCTTTACGTTTTTGCATTATAGTTTTTGGTATATGTTCTAAATAAGTTTGTATATGAAGGGTTTTAATATAGAAGCACTAATATAGGTCAAACTGTAAGCAAAGTCAACAGGAAAGGATATGGAGGCAGATTTATGATCTGGGGCAGTTTAACGCCTGGTTGGAATTCATAAATGGTGCCTGCGTGAGCATTTGGTTCTGCAGATGAGATTCCAAAACTGTGCTGATTTATAAACTCGGGTTCAAAAAGTTCATTTCAAAACTAGAAGCAGCATAAATCACTGTGGAGACGATAGACAGACATGGTGGTCATCTGGAGCCTGTAAAATTATCAGTGACACACACAGCTCATTTCTTGTAACCAGAGCACTCGTCACATACACGAGAACCTACTTGATCTGTTCAGCTGATTGAAATTAGCTTTTGTTTTCTAAAACGATTGCTTATTGAATTTATTTCAGTTAAAAAAAAAGATAGTCACATGAATGTCACAAGATCTCATTCTTCCTTTTAACTACAGTCAAACATGTTGCACACACATGATGAAGTCATTACATCCCAACATGTAGCCTAATAACAAAACGCCACAACAATTTAGCATTTACTTAACAGCCAGCTATCACTCACAGTTACAGATGTATAAACATCGACTCTTCCAGAAAACCTGTTTTAAGTAGCCAAATATGTGATATTTCCTCTGCTCTCTGGAACAATAAATGTAATAATGAAGATACGATTGCATCCACAAAAACAAAGCAACCACCCAAATGTGGAAAACAAAAACACAAGAAGCTACTTAAAGCTTGGTACAACAGGTAACTATCGTCTCCTAAAACATAACCTTTTGGCATTCTAAACTCATTTAAACAAATGGAAAACTCAGCTTTTATACAATACCTTTCTGTCAGCAACAGCTTTGCATCCCATTGTCAGAAACTAACAGTCAAGTCAGGTGCAAAAGTTAAGATTTGCTTTTTATATGTTGGTAAATAATGGCACAATAGGCAGTTGACTGCACAGCTAAAAAAAGCTTAGTAAGAACATCTCAGTGTTTCATTAAATACCTCCCTGAATGTTGCACACTGCAAGGGTAAACTATTAAGAATACACAAACAACATGGCCAGATGCAAAACTTATATCCACACCACTTGGCTGGTAATGTTGAGCTGCTTTGGTGAAAATAAATACAATAAAAACAATATGTCAAAACTGCAAGGGTGTAAATGGTACAAATGAATTTCATGGTTTAGTATGTACCTATGGATTCACAGTTTTTTTTTTTTTTTGGATAAAACAGGAAAACAAAACGATTGCCAAGTGCTATTTTTTGTTGTTTGTTTTGTTTCTTTTTCTCTTTCTTTCAGGGGGGGATTCCTTGTTTTAAACAGACAATAACCTTCCTGAACAGACAGAAAAACAAACCACCATTGGAGACTCTAAGGTAACAGGAAATGTAAAAGCAAAAAATTGAAAAAAATTGTCAACTGGTAACTTCATTACAAAATTGAAAAAATAAAAATGCCACATCATACTGTTTTATTCATCACATCTCAACCATAAAGTGTCCCACAGGCCACGTGTCAAACATAAAGTCTGATAAACTCCAAAACAGTTTTTTATTTTATTGTTTTATTAAACCGTACAAACAAGGAGTGTTTATTTCACTTTATCTGGCCTAGAATTTATGCAAAACAAAACTAATACATGACATTTCTATATGTAAATAAATAAAATTTGAATCACTTGTGCCTTCTTGGGAGAATACTTGTGTTCAGTTCACACACACGCTGCCTAAAAATTGCCTTGTGGCGTGTTTAACTGAGTTTATAAGACACCAGATGGCATTTCAAAGCACACAAATTATGATCTTTTTGGCTTTCCATACCTTTTGAAGGTATGCCTTTACTCTGGTCACTGGAAATACAAAATGTTTCACGTTACTGTTCTGCAACAAACAGTTCCTTTGTGTATCAGATCTATTATTGCTTTGTTTGGTGTAGAGTGCTTTATGCACAACATCCTCTATTTGCTGGCATGACAGCTAGCAAAAAGAAAGGGGAAAATCATACATGGGTATCATTTTTTAGACAGGAGTGACTGTCAGTATAAGTACTTGTACTAATACACACCTATAAAACTGACTTTGTGACAGGCTTAGTAAATCTGCCCCTAAAGCTTGTAAGTTACCAGCCAAGATGGGACGAGTTAGATTTGCAACTACATTTGATTACTTCATAGTCAAAATCAAAAATGTTATTATTAAAATAACTCAAATAAAATAGTATGCTGTCTGATGTTTTTAAACTATATGTTTGATTTAGCTTTTATAGAGAAATGGCCATTAAAAGTCTTGATGCCTTGCAAAGCATATTTGATTTCAATTACAAATAAAGGCATTGCTGAGCTAACATGTCCTTGTGGTAGGCCCATGTTTCTCCTCTATGTGCCTGATGCCTCCGTTTCCAGTAATTCCATTAAATTTACAACAAACATGTAGCTCCAGAGACATCATTCCTCATGCTGTTTAGCAAGATTCAATTGCAAGTTTTAACAGTCTAAGTTAGTTAAAGCAGCACATTTTTCTTTTTTATTATTACTCAAAGTAATTCATTTACCCCTTCAGAATTGCCAGTGTCATTTATTCCAACAATTTATAAGTAAAAAAAAAAAAAAACATACTGTATTTTCAGGAGGAATGTGTTTTCAGACTTGGAAATTGTCCAGGGTGTGTCCCACCTCTTGCACGGTGACTGCAGAAGATAAGCACCAGCGGCCCCACAATCCAAAAAGGAGTAGGAAAAGAAAATGGATGTTTTAAGGTCTAAGGGGGGATTAGTGGACAAATTATTCTTTAAATGTGACCTAAGTATGGATGCTCTTAAATGATTGCTTAAAACAAGTTTTTTTTTGCAGGAAATGCAGCAGCTGAGTGCCAACAGTAAAAAAAACACACCATCATACACCCTCTTGGGCACATACTTGAACCAGACAAAACTTTGTAACTATCAGGATTATTCTTTTGGAAACCTCAGGCTTAGAGGAAACAGGGACGTTGAGGATGTAGTTGACATGAGGGTCATAAGAGGTAGTAAATCATGCCTCAGTTCCCATGAGATATCACAGGCATCAATCACTCTCAGCTTTGCCTTTGAAGATGAAGCCTCAAATCAACAGGAGACTGAAGAAGCAAGTCGATAAATAAGCAAAGTTTTCCCCACAGGGTTGATGGAGGAAGGTTGCGATGGATGACCTTTCAGAGCCAGATAATTCAGGGCTTGGAGCTGTGGGGTTGGGAGAGTGTTGATTATCAGCTAGAGCTGTGTCACTTTCAAAAGCACGGGGTTAACGTAGTCTTACAAGAAAGGCAAATATCCAAACAGTATCCAGTTCGATCAAACCAGTCAACTTCTGGTAATGGTGTAGGCAATATCCCACCATGAATGTGGAGGGCAGTCAATAAGAAGTCCTTCACTTCTGCCATTTCACAGCAGTGCTCAGCTTTGGGTTTGTTTTTGAACTTTGGACACCAGTTGTTATGAAAAGTAGAGCCCTGTGGAGGAGAAGTGGGGGGAAATGTGTTAGAAAAAAATGAAAGAATTCTTCCTTTCTTTTCATTTTCTCCAAATGATGTGAAGCAAAAAGTCTCACCAATTGGGCTGATGTACACGCAGACAGAACTTTACACAGTTTCAATGACATTCAGTATAATTCTGTAACAGAAAGAGAACTATTAGACACCATTCCTTTATGGGCAATATTGGCAGTTCGGCAGATCAGTGGTTATCACTGATGCCTCACAGCAAAAAAGTCCTGGGTTCAAACCCTAGTTCAGGACTGGGGTCTTTTTGAGTTCGCATATTCTCCTCGTGCTTGCATGGTTTTTTCCTGCGTACTACGGTTTCTCCTATAGAACAAAAACATGTACAATGGTTTCCCTTCAGGCCCTGACCTCCTGTATAAAGAGATTTGGAAGCTCAATGGGATTTGCCTGGTTAAATAAAGGTTAAGAAATAAAAAATACCAGACATTGATCCAACATGATAGGAGTATGACTCCATATTATGGCCATTTTGCAGATGAAAAAACAGGAGCAGTAAATGTCTGAAAAAACAAACAAACAAAAGAAACATTCATTTCAGAAATTTAGGGAAAAACAAGGACATTTTCTGAGCTCCAAAAGCTGTAAATTTGCAAGAAAAACTCAGAAAAGTTCATGATTAAAGGGCAAGATATTTCGAAAGAGAAGTTTATGCACAAAAGTTGTAAATTTGCAAGAAAAACAGAATTTCTGAGATTAATTTCAGAAAATTTTGAGAAAAAAACAAAAGTTTCTTATGTAGAGGNGAATAACTCCTTTTTTTCTTGTCAACTGCAAAATGGCCCCAATACGCTGTTGTTACAGGAGTCAGGAACTCCATTTAGATACATTTTAGGTTTTGGTTTTAGGCTTTAAAATAATAAAGTGAATTTGAAACAGTCCGACCGTACAGATCTACGCTGAAGGACAGTATTACTACCAAACGAGGAAACAAACAAAAAGTTTTACCATCAAGATATTTTTATTTATACACTGTTCTTTCTCTACTATCAAAGCTGAATTATTTCATGTTCGTCTTGTTAATGCATTGTGACACAATAAGCAAAACTATGAGTTTCCAAGTCCTGAATAGATGACAGACTGTCTTCTGTTTATTTGAGTTTTTATGTAGACCTATTGCATTTCAGCAGTTTTAATGCATTATATGCTTTATTCAGATTTAAGGAATTACTTCTGAAAACATAAAACTTGTTTTCTGTGAAATGTAGCTAAACAAATCCCTCCATTTGTTATGCAGTACACTTATCTCCTTTAAATCTGCTGGAGCTCTGTTAGCGTAATGCAGTAATGCCTCCTTGTGACTCTGTTCAAGGCAGAACACAGCCTGTGATTCAGATGATGCTGTTTTTCTTTTCCTGCTGGTAAGAGTCTGGCTTTCAAACTGTGCAGGGAACTCACAGTGAAGGAATGAAAAATGAGATGTTTTTCAGATCGGCTCTAACACTATTGGACAGAGAATAGTGTCTGCTTTTTAATGTTGATGTGCTGAAGGTTATAAAACAAGATGTTTAGTCACCGAGAGCCATTACTGATTCTGCGAAAGGAAAAGGAAAGGAAGAAAATACATTAGTTTCTAACAAGGAAAAGAAAAATCTATATATTTGGGATGCAAAGTAATTAAGTGCTTCCTTGTATCAAGAAAATCCTGAGTTTTTTGGTGCATTTGTATTGGACTTGCATGTTTTACATGAGCAAAGTTTTTATACGCGCTTAAGTTTCCTTCCAGAGTCCAAAGACGTATAAAATGACGACTGACAAATCTGAGTGTGAGTCAGAGCGTGAATAATTGTTTGTCTCTATGTGCCCCAGTAATGCCAGGGATGTTAATGATGTGGATAACCCACTGCATGGTAGTCAAGAAGCATTTCTTGTTTCCTTGTTTTTGTAAAAAAAATAATCTTGACTAATTTATTTAATAAACGGAGAAAAAAGTTCTAAGGTAATGAAAAAACAGGACCTGAATTTAGCTGTAGTTGTGTCAACCCAGTGTTAGTACTAGCTAAACCTATTAACACACTCTAAGACTCAGACCAGACTAATCTGTCTGTGGCAGAGTGGTTAGAGGAGTTAACTGGTGGGTTGCCAGTTCAATCCCCCATTTCATATGCTATGGCAGTAGAGTCATACTAATTTGTTTCATGTTATTTTAGGGCTAATTTATAACTATTTTATGACATACATGTAATATAATTTCAGCTTTTACTAAATCAAGGATCACATTCTTATCAGCAAAGGGTGAAAAGTCCTCAGATATGTAATGTGTTCTGAGTGGTGAAACCACAGTAACATATGTAGACAATTCGACTTTTTATGTAGCATAACTACTGTATGTTTCTCACAGGTTCTGAACATGTTATTTACCATAAAGCAAACCTTGCCTAAGGCCCCTATAAAAACACCCAATTGTGATTTAGGATAACACTTTCTGTTTGGAATTTGGGGGAACTCCAAAAAAATAGGGGAAGAAAAAACCCACATCAAAACTAAAGCTGAGAGATTCAGATGTACAGTGTGATTTATGATTCTAACAAGAAAATAATCCCATAATGTAACCATCTTACACCCTTTGTGCAAAATCCACACTTCTTCATCACCATCTTCACCATCAATACACCAGTCATTTTCAAGTAGAAAAACACAACGATCTTTGTTCCTATATTGTTTTGTTTTCTCAGTGGGTTTTAGGAGTTATTTATTTTTTTATTTTTTGTTTTTTGAAAAGTCAGACTTTGCATAGTAAAAGATCAGTGTCCTACAATGTTTTAGACAAGCACTTAAAAAACTGTAGAGCAAAACCTAAAAGTTTTCCTTTCAGCCAGCAGAAAACAACAGCAAAAAAGAAACTAAACAATCAGAAAGACTAGAATTAAAATTCCACCATGAATAAGAATCAACAAAAAGATTTTAATGTGGTGGCTGTGGTGGAGTGAGAGTTGTCCTGTATTTGGTGGGTTGCTAGTTCAATTCCCCATTCCAGCTGTCTCAGTCATTGTGTCCTTGGAAAAGACACTTTGCCCAACTTGCCTACTAACGTTGCTCAGAGGGTCAGGTGGCGCTGGTGCATGGAGCCCCACCTCTGTCAGTGTGGCCCAGGGCAGCCATGGCTTTAATGTAGCTTACCAACAAATGGGCGAATGTAAGTGTAAAACGCTTTGGAGTCTGATGGCACTTGACAAAGCACTATATAAGTTCAGTCCATTTATAAAAGTGTTTGTGAACAAGGGAAGAATCACATCAACAGAAAGCTCACTTTTCTGAAGGCTCAACGTTTTGCTGAGATGTCGTCCTTTCTGTTCCTGTGAAGACTTCTCCTTCTCCAGGATTCTGTGCATGATCCTGTCTGTTCCTTTTTGATTTGACCTGTATGAGATTGGAAAGAGGGTTTTTTATTTTACTGACATAAACACAACTCAGCTTAACACAGACTTTACCTGATCTGTGTAGAAAATTAAAAAGGCTGCCAGCAGCTGTAATAATTTCCACATAAGATAGTGCTACCTTCCAACAATACAATGAAAAATAAAAAAAAACACTGGCAGATATTATCTCTGGAGTATTTCATGAAGCTACACAGCTTTGTGTCAGCAGTCAAACAATCAGCTTACCTTCCAAACCAGCAGAAGGATGAGAGCGAGAAGTGGAATAAACATTATGTAAGGAAGGATCAGCTTCGTCGTGTCTAAAACATCATTTTGTGTACCTAGAGCTGAAATAATAACAAAAAAAAACCTCTTTAGCTGTATAATAAAGTATAGTTTTTGTTTAAAACAATTGTAAAATCTGTTCCTCTTGATGAATACTGGATAATCCCTAAAGAACAAGTTAAGTTGTACATCAGATTTTAGTAACAAAACAACCATCTGTGGAGACAGATCAGGGATAACATCATGACCAGTTGCCAAAATTTTGAGGTCGAGGCAGATGGCCGCCTGCCCTGAGCCCGGTTCTGCTGGAGGTTTCTTCCTGTTAAAGGGAGTTTTTCCTCTCCACTGTCGCCAATGTGCTGCTCAGGATGGGAGACTGTGACGGTCATTCATCACAATTTGCTGTCTTCGTAGATTGATTGTTCTTTGTACAGTGCCCTGAGATGATGTCAGCAAATTACTTTACAATTATACATTTGACTGTATCTTAAAGGCACAGTGTGTAGGATTTTGTCAATTCTTTTAGCCGAAATTGAGATAATCACTAATGACAATAATAAAAAACATGTCTGATCATTGCAGACTAAGACCTTGTTTTATTATTTTTACCTTATAAAAAGCTGTTTATATCTCCATGGTTGCGGGTCGCTACTACAGGCAGCTACCATCTTGCACCGCCATTTGTTGTCTGTCATTGTAGCTGGGATAATTTTACTTATTAAAGCTCATAATCTTACCACTTGAAACATCACTAGCCCTGAAGCTGCTGGTAGACATCGCGGTTGGAATTATCAAAGGTTTTTGACACCTGAGAGACACCGTAGAAACTCCTTTGTGTTTGGAAGCGGGGGGTGGGGGTGGGGGGAGGACCAGGGAGGATGATTCAACCACTCAACCACTAGATATCACTGAAAACAACAAATCCTACACACTGTGCATTTTAGCTACTCCTATAAAACATTGCTCTTAAAAATATTAGCTTATTGTCCTCCCACAATAATGCAATGGATGTTTTGTCCTTGTATAGACAGTTTTATGCCAATGGTGCCAAGGCTGCTGAATGTTTCAATCCATCTGATCAGTGTGTTTAGTCAATCCAAAAGTTTACACAAGCCCTGGCAGATCAATACATTATAGTCACAGAACCATTGGCGTATAATGGTCTATGCTCAGCACACATACAGTACATTTGGTATGAACAAAAACCTTTGTTTGAAATAAACTGAGACAAACTGAACAGTGTGTAAAGTGTAGATGTTTAACATTAGCTTATAAAGTTTTCCTTTATATGTTGTTTTTGAGAATGAGTTTTATAATCCCTAAAATGTTTATACATAATGTACATTTAAAAAAATTCCTGACTATGCTAAATATTAGACTAGCCTGAACAAAAACAGTTACTTCAATGTCAATGTCTGATGTCACAGAATAGCAATGGCAGCACAACGGCTCAGTGGTTAGCACTGTCAGCTCACAGCAAGAAGGTCCTGGGTTTGATCCCCGGTTCGGACCTGGGGTCTTGCAGAGTTTGCATGTTCTCTAGGCACTCTGGTTTCCCCCACCCACAGAAAAAATGTACAATAGGTTGCCTTCAGGTCCAGGCCACCCTTGCAAGAGAGATCTGCGATCTCAATGGGATTTGCCTGGATAAATAACGGTAAGATAAAAAATTAATTAATTAAAAAAAAACTGTTGCACATGACGTCACTTTAAAGTTAACTGAACCATCCTTTCAAACAGACAATTCAAACAAATCATGCACACACTCACACCTAGTGACAATTTCATTTTGCCAATTAACTTAACATGCGTGTTTTTGGACTTTGAGAGGACACCAGAGTACCTGGAGAATACACTCACACAATCAGAACCAGTTTTAAACCTTATTAGCAGTTTGAGCTGAAGCAACTCTCCATCTGACAACATAGGTCAACCTTTGTTTCCAAAATGCACCAAGAGTTTGCTCCTGGCCTTTTTATTCGTTTGTCTTCCTAGGGTTTTTGTTCCCAAAACTGCAGACTGGAAACATCCCAAAATGCAGGAAGTAAAAATGCTGTAAATGCTTGCATGCTTGAGTCAGGGGAGGGGGGCAGGTCTTTAGGGTTGTATTAAATGACTTTGTTCTGGCCTGTGAATACAACATTTCACTCAGAGCTCACTTGTAACTAGTTTGTTAGTGCTGATTTTTTTTTCTGATGCACTTTAAATAGAAAATTGCAAACTTACATGTTGAGCTGTCACACTGGTTGATTGTTTGAGAGCTGTGACCGTTGTGAACAGGTGGCTCCGAGGGAGTCGGTGACTCAGTGGAAAGGGAGTCCGGGGCTTGGAGGAGGCAACAACAGAATGAGAAGACAAAGAGGAGACACAATGGAGCGTCACTGTCTGATGGTGAAAACATTCATTGTCAAGTATTAAAAAGTCACTTCAATGCCACCTCTTCTACCTTTCCGCTAACACACACACAAAAGGCCTGATCCAACTATAGCAAAGAAAAGAAAAGCACTTGGGAAGATTGAAAGATTGCTCTGTAATCAACACATACACAGTCAGGTTTCAGTCCTTTTCTTTTTAACGTGCGCTACCCTGGGACATCTTCCCTTAGTCCTGTGACTCAGCTGTGTCTCAGTGGACAGCACTGAGACCATTAGAGTTTTTATCTGGCAAAGTTCTCGCAAAGAAACGATGGTTCCAGATTAAAAGCTCATCCAAAAAGCCACAGGAGATCTGTCCTAAATAGCTTGTTCACAATGGTGCAAAGAAGGTGGCTGTCGTTTTACAAGTAGAAGTGAGCATGAGGCTGGAATGTTGCTGGTTAGATCAGTTTCAATGAACTCAGAAAGGAAGCATAATCCAGAGAGCACAATGGGCTTTTTTTCTTCTTCTCACAATAAAACAGCTTAAACTTTATAGATCCTCTGAGTCATGTAGAATGTTTGCTGGAGATTTTATCTGCCTTCCAACTATCATGAAAGGGAAATAGGATTTAGGGCACCAAAAACTACTACAACAGGCTTGTTCTTTTACTATGTCTTCTTTTCTCTTATGTAAAATGTTTCCTTTTGAGAATACTTGCTTCGCAGTAAATTATAGATGATTAATGTTTAGCAAATATTGTTTTGGATTATAACCATGGACCATAGAACTACTGGAGTGGGTGGAAACCATGTGCCCGTGTGATCTGCTGTACATAGCGGGAAAAAAGGACTGATGTTGAAATCATAAAAACTATTAATAAAATTAACAGAGTGAATATTCTATCTAATGTTTTAAATAATTCCAGAAAGTTGTGTGTGTTATATAGATGTACCCACAGAAAAGAAGCAGGAAAACTTTTATACTTTATGTCCAAGTAACTAACTGACTTCAGGTCTGGTTTAGATCATTGTTCCTTATAAATTATATATGTTTCTGGTATATATAGTTTTACATGACTGTTGAATATAATTAACATAACTATTAATTCATTGTAAAAGTATTACAGATAATTTGGGACACAGATCCAGTTGGGCTTGATGTTAGTCTAAAAGTTGCTGTGAAGCGACGCTCTGTTCAATCACCATTTTCGCTCCTCCTCCGATGCTAACAGTGGGCAGGATAGGCTGGGCCTATCCTAGTCATATATATATTCAACTCTATGATTATAACTTAAAACAAACACACATCCTTGTATTTGCATCAAACTGAAGACTTTATATTGACTTCCATTCATTTTTGTAACTATTTATGTCTAACCCAGACATTTTCCCTAAAATTAATCATTACTGGTCTATACCTAACCCTGACCTGAACCAAACCTTAATTCACACCATACCTCTAAACCTAACTAGTAGAGCGCAGTAGAACTGCAAAAAAGTGAGGACTGGGAAAATGTCCTCACTTTGTTGGTTAAAACACACACACACACACACACACACACACA